GTCGTTTTTAGATCTTAAGAAACTACTGTGTAAAAACGGCCAGTAAACGGTAAGACCAAAAAACAGCCAGTTAACTGTCTGTAAATGCGCTGTTAACCACAAAGTTAACTAGCAGTTTCTTGGCTTTACTGTTTACTGCCAGTTCTTAGACAGTATTTTTGTAGCCCTAAAAACGGTCAATAAACTAGACAGTTTTTAGGTGGTTTTTAGACAGTTAACACGTTGTCAACTGGCAGTTTTTAGGCGGACTGTAAACTGGCAGTTAATTAACAGTTTATTGCCCGTCTTTTTTCTCCTGGGAGCCAATATTAGCAGGCGTTAATATGAGTGACGAATTATCATCAGACAAATATTTTAATCGAAGTTCAAGAGTCATATGATGGTATTTTAATGCATTTTCATAATTACATTTATTACAATAGATAACATCGATATTATTATAAATCTGTTCAATATCAGGATGCTCCGTCAATGGTAATTCCTTTAATAATAATGTATAATACCGTTCAGCCTTAGTGAATTCACCAAGATCAAGTAGATAATCACCCAATGTGATTAATGTTGTCTCTTCACTAATATCATTTTTATTTTATCATTTTAATTCTTCTCGTGTCATGCCCTCATCTCGATAAACTACTACTTTATCTTTTGCTAACTATTGAATATACGTCGAATGTAATTTATTTAATTGTTGATACAGATCAGTTATGAAAAATCGAAATTTAAATATAATATCAATGTCTTGTGTACGTAATGCCTTGTTTAAAAGACGAAATAGAAAACAATCACGTGTATACCAAAAAACAGCATTGGTTGGCTCATAGTATTCTTCAAATTCATCAACTTTTTCGAGTTCTTTTTTGTTGTTTCTATAATAACACGACCTTCATTCATTAAATCTTTCTTGGTATTAACGCTTTGGGGCAGCCGCAGTAATATATCAATTAATAATCGAAACCACGTGAACGATGCATTTTGCACTTTTTAAATCTCGAACAGAGACTTCCGTTGCATTTACGTTTAATATACTCATTGGTGTCATGTCGACCTTATGTAATAACGCATCTTCTTCAAGATTGTTCAACAGAGCATTTAATTCCGTAAATATACCACGAATATTCGAATAACTTCTGAACCACTGTTCATGTTTCTCTCTATTTTCACAAAAGATAAATATTGACAAAATTTGTGGTGAATTCTGTAACAATGGAACGACCGTTTCACCCAATGCACCAAATACAATTAGAAATATTTTTTCGTTTTTAATTGATGATGTGTAAAGCAGACATTCGTTAGTATTATCGAATACAGGATCAAGCCATATAACAATAAAATCTTCCGGAATGGCAACTGGTACTAATGGAGAAAATATTGTCCGTTTTGATGCCAATAAACTATTCGTTGCGTCAGTTGCAGTCATGTTGTGACAAAAATTCAAACGAGGTTTATACTGTAGTAAAAACAAAGTGTAAAGTTCTGTGTTTGATTATACTAACGGAAAATGGTGACGTTGATTCTTTTACCATTGTTTTTATTTCATTTTATTATTTTGTTTTTTTTCATTTTACCGTTGTTGTCATAGGTTTCGTAGGCAATGTATAACTCCACAAAAATTGCATATTAGTGTACTTTTTCTAGCCTTATTACTAAAAATTCAAAAACCAAATTTACGATTATTACATATTCAAAATGTAGCAAAATTATTCATATAACGAAATATTTTATGCAAATACCATGTTCAACTTTAAAGCATACAGAACAGTTATAAAATACTCTAAAAGAAGATATTGCGTAATCTGATAAGATAAGAATTGATAATATTCAACAATAGTTCGTGTGTTCCAAAATGTAAAACGATTTCAAATAGTGATGAAAATCTTGGTTATCAAGTGTTGTAATGCCTTAAAAGTTTAATTAGTTTTACAATAGCCTGTCAGGGAAATGTAATGTTAAATTATTTGAAAATTCAAGTTAATTTATGGATAGAGACTACTGAAAACAAAAATTATAAATTTAGTCATGAAGAAAATACTGTTGTCATTTGATTTTAAATATTCCCTGTCAATTTTGGAACATGGATAATCGCATTAGTTTGAAAACTAAAATAAAGTACATAAAATTGAAGTATCTATCGCTCTACATCGAAATTAAAACATTTTGAGAAGGGGTCGACCTCTACAGGGTGCCGGACACGGTCATTTATGAATACAAGCAAATATGAAAGTCTTTGAATCATTTAAATTCTCTTCGAAAAAGCAATCGATGATATACCACACCAACTAGCCAGTGCAGAGATTGCCGTTATTATGCTTTTACTTTTGGGATAGTGATGCATGCACCCGTGTGTTTGTAACCGAAAATGATCTGTTAAACCACACTGCAAGTACTGAACAAACAATACTAAATCGATCGTCCGCCTTAACATTTATTCACTGATTGGTTGTTTTTATTTAATCTCTTATTAACGACTATTGTTCTTGTGTTTCAAGACTAGTCCTGTTTCATTGATTTCAATACACAGTTGGTATCTAGATACAACGCATGCATTTTGCGTCATTTCTGATTCCTATAGAAACGAAGAGGAAGGTCAACAGAAGACAACAAGATATCTCGAGAAAGAAAAGAGAGAAGTTTAATCTTCGTTAACAGAGAATAAAAAACACAAAATTGCACATACAGAAAAGAAAACTTTTGTTATGAGTAAAGCATAAACAGAGAACGATTTATCAGAAGAAAAATATAAAACACGTTCCATAAATTTCTATTGTCCGTAGCCAAAACAGTGGGTTGTCCAATTGTTCCGAATAGATGGCCGCTTCAGTGAACCGGATTAATCCAAAGGAATGTGCAACATGCAAAGAGCTGAAAGAAAAAGGACGTGGTGTGATGATATGTGCCGGATGTTCATAAATGTTTTGCAATAAACACTATCCACAACATCGACAAATGATAGATAAATAATTCGATCGGCTCATAGAACAACATACGCTTTTTCAACAAGATTTAAATCAAACACAATACAAAACCGTATCTCAATCGATACAAGAAATCGATGAATGGCAACAAGAGATGTTCGACGCGATAATGAGAGCAGTTACGGCATCTAAACAAAAACTGACACAAACGTTGAGCAAACAAGACGAAGTAAAACGCAAATTTACACTGATAACAAACGATTTACGTGTAAAACAATCAATCCGTGACTACGATGAAAGTGATGTCGACGAATGGAAACAACAATTAGCCGAATTGAAGCAACAACTGAAGAAAGTGCAAACACAAAAGTTGAATCTAAACAGATCTATTAATTTTACATCAAATTGCGTCATCCTTCTCGCATGCTATAATCGAAGTTTCAGTTCGTGGGCTTAATTCATGTACAGCATCATCCGTCGGTTTCTACTTTCTCTTGGCCTCAATCACTTTTTCTCCGCATCTATTTCCTCTTGTGACGACAACGTGGCGCCGTTCTCCGTCACTGATGATAGACGGAGTCTAGCCTGATATATTCGTTTATGGGAGTGAGGATAGGGCCAGTTGTGAGATAGGTTTTCCTTGTGGATACGTTGACCACCTTGATCGAGGAGCGGAAACATTTACTGGGAGTTCAAAGTTTTTGTTGAATGAGGTTGAAGTTTATCTTTTAAAGTAAAATAGTAAAAACTGGAAAACGAAAGTTTTTAAAACTGGGCATGCACTGGGATGAGATTCTCGAACTAGAAGGCCTGGATGAGTTTTCGGGAACTGTGAATATCAAACAATGTGGATTTTTTTGCAAGCTATTAAGCGTTTGCTTGTCTAGACTGTGAATTTATGAATATGGTCGAAAACCATATCGGTTTGAGGCAAAAAGCTTTTTCTAGCAACAAGTGTACAGGTTAGAGTCGCTCTTCCGAAATGGAACGTCACACGGATTGGACAAGCACTTGAATAGCGGTTAATTGCAAGAATAGCGCTCAAGCTCAATTTTACTGTTGAAAATTCTCGTCGCGCACATATCACGTATAGCTCATAAGCTGAGTAAGATCAAAGGTCATTCTATGTTCCATTTCGAAAGAGAGAGTCTAGCATTTACAGTTGTAGGTTGAAAAAGTTTTTTCCCTCAAACCGGCATGGTTTCGCGTAAAGACGTTTGATCTTTCAAGATATTTCCTGGATATGATAGTGTATCTTCAGTCGTTTTTGTGTGAATTTCTGTAGCAAAAAGATGAAACTCTAAATAATCTAATAGTGTGAACTTTTTCTTTTTCAGTCTACTGTTCTGAGAGGTTGGTCAGTCAGATCCTTTACTTCTGGTATTTAAAAAGTTAAGAAAATGTGGACATGTTTTTAAGCATTAGAAAATTTGGTGCTTGCTCCGTGCTGAACCAAATTGGATAAAAGTTGGGCGGCAAATGCAAAATTTGTCGGTGAATCCGACAGCGGGTTCCTTATAATTACATCTTCACTTCGTTTTTGGTGTCGACTTGTTCGGTAATCAACGTGATTTTTGTCTAAATTTTATTTTTCTCATTGGTGCATTTTTTCAACCAACGAGAAAAATAAAATTTAGGCAAAAACCACTTTGATTATGTCGACGCCGAAAAAGAAGTAGAGATGTAATTATAAGGAACCCGCTGTCGTATTCACCGACAAATTTTGCATCTGGCGCCCAATTTTTATCCAATTTGGTTCAGCACGGAGCAAGCACCAAATTTTCTAATGTAAAGCTTGCACCATAAACAGAAAGAAAATCGAGTTACTAGGTCTCACATTTAACCCAAATATAGAACCATGTGTTGCCAAGCAGCGATGCTAAAGCTATTTTTTGATTTTCTGAAAAACGGTTTGAGGCTTATTTTGTGAGCAGTTTTTTGCCCATTTAATCTGATTTTGAAACTTTATTTTTCGCTGCATCGGATAGAGGACTCCGCATACTATCTATCCATATGCAAATCAATGCTTGATAAGTAGTTCTATGACAAAAAAAATATACCAAACCATCAGTAAAAAAAGGTGAAATTTCCTAAAATAGTAATATAACTCGAGATTCTTTACGTATGGTAAAAATTTCAAAGCTTGTCTTGTGTCATCAGCTAGTTAGAACTCATAGAAGGCAAAAGAAGGAATTCCCTAACATTTGGCCATGCCTTGACGCTTTATCAAAAATAACTGTTTTTTTCCAAAAAAAGTATTAAGTGAACAGCGAAGAAGAAACATATCACAGTATGTATAACATTATCTTAAGGCCCCCCTCCCTCAGAAATTATCTCCGACACCGTACATCCGACCTTGACGAAACTTTCCAGAAATGTTCGGTACAGTGAGTTACGGGAACGAAAATTTTTTTTGTCTCCGAGTCTTACGGTTTAGGAGTTTTTCAGCGATCAAGGTCCAAAAAGCACCCTGAACGGCGTGCCAGGATTTTTTAATATACTTCAAGCTGGAGATTTCGGGTTTGTTTTATTTTAAACACCTACATCGACTGACCGGCGTCGATTTTTCAATTAAGCCTTTATCGGTTTTCCAGGCAACCAACAACCTCCGAAACCCGAAAAATGCTTCCAGATTTTTTAAAAATCCTCAGTTTGAAAAAAACTAAGACCTAATTCAAAAATCGACGCCAGTCAGTCGATGTAGTTTCTTTTCCTCTTTTAAACAAAAAAAGAATGAACCCTCTAAGACGAACCGCTATTTAAAAATCTTGGGACGCACTTCAGGTGTAACTCTTATATAGTGAAAATGCTGTATTAAACGCTGTATGAAATACTCGATTCTAGGACTTCTAGGAAAATGCCTGTAACTTTTTGATGCAAGACCATACACAGTTGTGAGAGGCCTTATTTTGATCAGAAACATTTGCTCTACAAAGCTGTATGTTCAGAAAATTTTTTTAATTGCATAAGTATCAGGAAAAAACATTATTTGAAGACCCATTTTTTCGAGACTCTTAGAAAACTTGCTCAAAATCCCCGAAAAAATAGTTTTGTAACCAAAAGCAATACAGATTCTGAAAGTAGACGCTGCCTACAGGCTATCTTTCCATATGCGTATCTCAAAACCGATTTTTTGACCGAAAATCACCATTTCTGAGGGGAGGGGCTCTTAAGAGATCAAAAACCACACGATATCAATGTTCACCATCAATATAAATCATATTGGTTTCTTCTGTATGGAAACCATATCTTTTCGCTTCTGTATTTTTTTCTGAGATCTTATTTTTCCTACAGCAAAAATAAAAAAAATATATGATTTAAATTTTTCTACAATTGTCTTTGATAAATAACTAACCACATCGTGTTTCTTCTGATATTATTGGTTTTGTTAGGCTCCATTCGTCAATTCTATCCTTGTTTACGAGATCAAAAGCAAAATAGGCAATATTGACGCTTTATTTCTGCTAAACATCATACTATTTGTATGATTGTTTAATACAATATA